CACTAATCAGTGATTGGGTAAATTTGACAAATCCTGAGATACTTCATTTAGAGGGATGGGACTTACTTTATGGGTGGCATGCCTATTTAATATTTAATAAAAAAAATGGACTGGGTCTTTAAATCTCATATTTTAAGAATTTCTTTACTTAGGATTTGGAGAAAATATTATAAAAGTGATTTTAAAGTTCCATTATGGGCTATACCTTGGCATGCGATAGAAGGAATAAAAGAGGAGTAAAAATGGACATGGTGTCTTATAGTCAGTTACTTAGATGGGATGGGCAAAACTGGCAGTTAAGATTACGGGAAGATTTAGCGCAAGAAAATATTATTTATTCTTGGTTTCAATATAGGCAACTAGTAGATAAATGGAAGGTGGATTGTAAATTGGGTTTTCTTAGAGAAGATGGAAATCTTATTAAGCAAGTCAAGGATCAAAGACAAACCCATATCAAGAGAATGTATGGGGTATTAGTTGAAATGGACTCAGAAACGGAATTAATTAAAGATTGTATGATTAGATGGGCGCAGAATTTTGGTGTCCCAGTCTCATTGGACATTTGGGAAACCATTTGGGTGAGAAATGTCAAATTTACACAAGCACAGAATCTTAGGGAGAATTTTTATAAAATGTTTTATAGATGGCACCTTGATCCACAAAAAATGTCTCTTATGTACCCTGACGTGCAACCCAAATGTTGGAGATGTGGTTATAAGGATGCTTCCTATTATCATATTTGGTGGTCATGCAGAGAGATAAAAGCATTTTGGATCAAAATATGGTGGAATATCCAGAGAATTCTTAGAAGGAGGGTAAAATTTACTCCGCAATTATTTTTGTTAGGCATTGTTACAGATTGTGATACAAAGGAGGTTGTATTGATGTTAAACTTGATTACAGCTGCTAGGCTGTTAGTAGGACAATATTGGAAGAAGGAATCTTTGCCAACATTGCAGGAATGGTTTCTTAAAGTAGCTTATCTGGCGGAAATGGCAAAGATTTCGGCTTTCTTAAAGCAACAAACGCAAGAGAAGTTCCTTGCTGTTTGGGACAAATGGATAAAATTTATACAATTTAGATTGGGTATACAAAAATATCACATAGCTTTTTTATAAGTTTTATTTATATATATATATATATAGATATTTTTTTATATATATATATAAATATAAATTTTTTAATTTAATTTTTTATTTCTATTTTTTAATTTTTAATTAAGCCTGTATTCTGCTCTGGGAAGCTCAGGGGGGGGAAGGGAGGGTTTTTGTGAGGGGTGGGGGATGGGTTTTTTTTTTTTATATATGTAATGTTTAGTTTTTTTTTGTATATGTTGCCTTTTGTTTTGTATTGTTTTTGTCTTTTTGTAAAATTTATAAAACTTTCAATAAAAAAAAATAAAAAAAATAAAAAAGAAATAATAAAAAAAAAAGAACAAGGTTAATTGGGAGAAGATTAATGTTATGGCTTGTTATGGACAGGGATATCACTTAATTCTGCTTGCCTTTATATCCCCCATCATTAATAACAGCTGCCAGTCAAACAACAGCATCAAGCATGAAGTGGGGAGAAGAGAAGTTAAAATGGAAGGGAAAGGGAGAGAAGAGAAGAGAAGAGAAGAGAAGAGAAGAGAAGAGAAGAGAAGAGAAGAGAAGAGAAGAGAAGAGAAGAGAAGAGAAGAGAAGAGAAGAGCGGTGATATGAACAGTGACTTGTGAATCCCCTCTGGAAAGCAAAGAGGCAGTTAGTTTACTTTAATGAAGGATCAAAACCAGTATGATTAAGTGATATCCCTCTCTACAGCAAGCAAGAGAATTAATCTTCTCACAATTTAACTCTTTATTAAGCAATCATTTTTTATTAAAAAAAAGTTAAAAAGATCTACATGGTGATGAACAATAACATGTTGAAGAGGCACAGCATTGTGGTGAATAGAAGGCTTAATAAATCTGTGATGACTAATATAGACTGAAAATAAGTTTTTTTTTCTAAGAAAGCTAAAAATGACTTTTAATAGTAAAGTGCAGGTCTTGATTTGCAGATTTCAGACAGTAAAATGCAAAAGACATCCTAAATCCAAAAAGTCATAGTATCCAATGCTTGGAGTCCATAATTATGGTGGTACTACACCTAACTGTTGGTGATATTGTCTGGAACATAATAATTGTGAGAGGGATCTCAGAGTCCTAGTGGACAATCACTTAAATATGAGCCAGCAGTGTGCTGCAGCTACCAAAAAAGCCAACACAGTTCTAGGCTGCATTGATTTTTGTAAGAAGTATTTCTAATGATAAAATAAATAGAAGAGGAGAAAGTGGGCATCCTTGTCTTACTCCTTTGGTTATATCATTTTTTTCTGTCATTTCCTCATTTATAATTACCCTAGCTGTTTGTTTAATATATATTTTCTCAACCATCTTTCCAAATTTTGTCCCAAAATCCATATAGTACAATTGTGTTATAATAAAATTCCAATTCAAATTATCAAATGCTAGACTGCATTAACAGAGGGATAGAATTAAGATCACACAAAGTGTTAATACCACTTTACAATACCTTGGTAAGGCCACACTTGGAATACTGCATCCAGTTTTGGTCACCACAATGTAAAAATATGTTGAGATTCTAGAAAGAGTGCAGAGAATAAAGAGCAACAAAGATGATTAGGGGGCTGGAGGCTAAAGCATATAAGGAAAGGCTGCTTAAATAGGGTATGTCTAGTTTAATGAAAAGGAGGACTAGGGGTGACATGATAGCAGTGTTCCAATATCTCAGGAGTTGCCATAAAGAAGAGGGAATCAAGCTATTCTCCAAAGTACCTGAGGGCAGGACAAGAGGCAATGGCTGGGAGCTAATGAAGGAGAGAAGCACCCTGGAACAGGGGTGTCAAACTCTCAATGTCACATGACGTGTCATGACGTATCACAACTTTTTTTCATTGCAGCAATGGGGTGGGCATGGTTTTGCCATGACGCATCCAGCCTGCAGGCTGCCAGTTTGACACCCCTGACCTAGAACTAAGAAGACATTTCCTGACAGAGCAATTAACGAGTGGAACAACTTGCCTCCAGAAGTTGTGAATGCTCCAACACTGGAAGTTTTTTAAGAAAAGATTGGATAACTATTTATCTGAACTGGTATAGGGTTTCCTGCCTGAACAGGAGGTTGGACTAGAAAACTTCAAGGTTCCTTCAACTCTGCTGTTCTGTTCTGCTCTACTCTACTCTATTCTAAACTTGGGCAATTGTACCTTGCAGTAGAACTAAGCATGAACAACTATAAATATGAGCAAATCCATTTAAGTTTTCTTTCCTTTGAGGATGAGACCCGTGAGATTTAAAGAAAAGAGTTTCTAAAATGAAGCTGGGCCTTAGGAAGAAACACAAGTAAAATTATGAATTCAGAGCAGACTTAGGTAAATACACACATCACTCTAACCTATTATTTAAATATAAGTCATGGATAGAAGCAAGCCTCAAGCCATTCAGCCTAGGCCCCATATAATGTGAACCATGATTTGCAAAAATAATAGCTAAGTTCATGGATAATTGTACTGATACAAAATGTGGTGGTCCAGGCTGTTATTTGTGTCCTAGAATGGCATACATTATAATTCTGCACTGTAAACTGCATTGGTTGTTAATTTGCTTTTAGGTCCCATTTGTGATGCTAGTTCTGAGGTTTAGATTCTTTTATGGCATGGGGCTGAGTTATTCAAGGAAGGAACTTTCTCTGCCCAATGATGTATCTTTATCCCCTTCATGTCTGAAATTCCATGAGAAAGGACCTAGGAGATGGGTCTTTTCTTTCATGGCATCCAATCTTGGAACATTATTCTCCCTGAGGTGAGATTGGTCCCATCCATGACTTCAATCAAGAACCAGGAAAATCAGGAGATCCAGATAATTCAAATTGTAGAAAGATTAATTGTAAGCTTAAACTCTATACAAGAATCTGAACTACTATCAGTCAAGATAAATTAGTGGGAGTTAAGAATAAAAAGGAATTCAAGGTGGACTGGACTTAGATCTCTTGTGGGGATGAAGAGACTCATGACTGATTATGCATTGATCCCCTCTCTCATCTCTTACAACATCTTTCTGGAATTCCCTTAAAACATGGTTGTTCCTTGAGTATTTCAGGGAAGTGGTGATTTAGAGAGGTGGCTGCATTGCCTTTAACATCAAATTCTCTCTTAAGTGTGTTAATAGTAACACTAATGGATTGTTTTTTTTTAAGTTACAGAATACTTTTAATATTGTTTATTGTATGGTTTAGTTTTCATTGTATGCTGCATAGAGCCATGTTTTGCAGCCCTTATGGCTATATAAATATGATGAATGAATGAATGAATGAATGAATGAATGAATTATAGTTCCATTTATTCTCTGCATTGTTCCATAATGACTTTTGGTTGGCTTACTTGCTTTCTTCAATAGGAAACCTCAGTTTTTATTTATGTATATGGTTGCCCAATTCTCATAGAGGTGACAGAGTGGGGGGAGGCTTACAACATTAAAATTTATCAGATCTGAATGAATGAATGAATGAATGAATGAATGAATCCTACTTCCACATATTCTCTGCTATGTCCCATAATGATTTCTTGGTTGGCTTCCTTGCTATCTTCAATGAATGATTCTTGCTGGCTTACATTAAAATTCATCAGATCTGCATGGTTGCTTCTACTACCCATTGTTAGTAGTAAAAAAGGAAAAAGAATAATCAAAAACCTTTGGAAATACTTCCTCCTCTATCCCTCTCTCCCTTCCTTTCTCCCTTATTTATAACTCATCTTTCAGTTCTGTGACTAGGAACATGGGATATCTGCACTTCACTGCTCCATATCATATATGATTCTTGCAGCATAAAAAAAAAGAATGACACTATATAACAGTGATTGAGGAACCTACTGACCAAAAAAGGATTTGTTCAGCAGCTGTGACATTGTGACAGGGTGGATAGATATATTTCAGGAAGGATAATTTTAGAAGGGCTAATTCACTGTGTGTTATTTACGCAGGAATACAAGGCAGTGTCTTCAGGTTTTAGACCATTGAGTTGGACAAATACCTGATTTTTGGAGGTATCTCTTGTGAGGGTTAACCGATTTTGCAAAATACTATTATAATATACAGTCCCACTCTTTGCAATACGTCCAACCCATTCCAGTCCCTCGCCTGGACGTTGACGGATCCAGTCCATGTACGCCTCTGCTACAGAAAATCCAGACACTGTACAAGTCAGTTTTATGGACTCCCCAGGCCTCTTAACATCACCACCAGATTCAGTAATGGTATGACTGGGTGAACTGCCTGTGATAAAAAAACAATAAAAATGCAAAATTAAAAAGGAGAAAATGATGGTGCAGAAGGTAAAAGAATGATATGTTGAAATATTATATGAAATACATTTTTCCTTACATGCAGAGAATGACAATATGAAACATGCCAAGATTGTTAATTCCATAATGTTAATACTGACTAACTAAAATGAGCACAAATTCTGATCTCCAGCTGAAAGAAATAATCCTTCCCCTTTAAAGAAGCTGTGGCATAAAATAATTTGCATGATATTCAAAGTGCCCATTATTTAATTAGATAGTAATAATAATAATAATAATAATAATAATAATAATAATAATAATAATAATAATAATAATAATAATAATAATAATAGTAAAGTTGGAAGGGACCTTGGAGGTCATCTAGTCCAACCCCCTGCTCGGGCAGGAAACCCTACACCATTTCGGACAAATGGCTGTCCATTCTCTTCTTAAAAACTTCCAGTGTTGGAGCATTTACTGCTTCTGGAGGCAAGCTGTTCCACTGATTAATTGTTCTCAATGTCATGAAGTTTCTCCTTAGTTCTAGGTTGCTTCTCTCCTTGATTAGTTTCCACCCGTTGCTTCTTGTCCTGCCTTCAGGTGCTTTGGAAAATAGCTTAATTCCCTCTTCTTTATGGCAGCCCCTGATATATTGGAATACTGCTATCATGTCCCCCCTTGTCCTTCTCTTCGTTAAACTGGACATACCCAATTCTCACAACCGTTCCTTATATGTTTTAGCCTCCAGTCCCCTAATCATCTTTGTTGCTCTTCTCTGTACTCTTTCTAGAGTCTCAACATCTTTTTTACATCGTGGTGACCAAAACTGGATGCAGTACCCAGTATGTCAATTGTGAATTGAAACCCAAAGACATCAAGAACAGATTCCTGTTGCTAAGGACTAAGATCGCATATCACATCACTGAACTGCATTGGTGACATCTAAAATTAGTGGAAATTTGATAAGGACCCTCTTTCTTAGAGATTCTTCACAGCCATAGGAATATCCAGTAAAAATGACATTTGCCAGATAAGAATCTTGATTAAGAGTCATGGTGGAGCACTGGTACTGCACATGCAGTATTGCAGGCTAATTCTGCCAATTGCCAGAAGTTTGATTTTCACCGGCTCAAGGTTGACTCAGCTTTCCATTCTTCCGAGGTCAGTAAAGTGAGGACCCATATCATTGGGGCAATATTCTGACTCTGTAAAAACTGCTTAAAGAGGGCTGTAAAGCATTGTGAAGCAATATAGAAGTCCAAGTGCTACTGCTATTGCCATTACAAACTTCAAGGAAACCAAATGAAACAGCTAATTATCAACTGACAATGTGAATTGCAAATCTACACCTAAGGAGATGAAACCCATCATGGTTTCTTTCCACCATTTGCAAAGCAATTAATAACCTTGTCTATGGAGATTCTCAGTCATGCTGGTAAAGATTGTCCCAAAGGTGCTTTTTCAAAATACAACTGGACTTTGTTTTTGTTTTGAGGTGTTTTTTGTTTTTTTGTTTTTGTTTTTTTGCTTTGTTTAGCAAAAAAAAGTTGCCATTTGAAAAAATACCCTTGGGGCAATTAATGGCTTTATTTAATTTTGACAGTACTTGTTCATAGCTTCTTTGCCACACCTAATGAAGTTAGACTTACAATTCCATAAAACAGTAGAAGACCTATTATCCAATTTAATACATGGACAATCTTATTAGCTCTAATCTGTTCTTATAAACATTACTAAAGAAGTAATGACTGTTTAGTAGCATACATACTCATGGATAAGCCAAATTATAGATAAGATCAAACTTTGTGAAACTTTAAACCAAAATACCATAAAAATGTGTCAGCTATGAATAAACAAACTCTCCATTTTTTTGTATGTTTCAATGTTCACAATTACCCTTCTTATGATATTGCATTTTCCATGTTATTTTGGTTAAATATTTATTTGTGGCTTATCTGCTGATGGGCTTATCCCTGAATATAACTTGGAGATATGAGTACTTAAAAAAAAAGTATACTGTATATACACATGGATAAACCCAACCCCAGATAAGCTGAACCCAACTTGATTGGTGATTTTTTTTTTCAAAGCTAACATTCTTGGCTTATTCTAAAAGTATGTATGGTATGTAGATTTGAGTCCACCAGAAAAATCAAGTTTATAGACTGGACTTATATGTTGAACCATCTGAGAATTCAAATTAGTTGGCCAAATTGCTTAATCAAACCACAATCAAGAAGACAGCAGTTGTAAAACACTTTTTGAGAGTTGCAAATAAACCTCCATGAGTGCAATTGCTAGAATCTGCACTTCCCTCAAAGGATTTCCTTCCCTTTAAAACTAGACTCTGAAGATAAACAAAAATCACTGCATTGCTGTTTAAAAGGCTGAGGAAGTGGTTTAGTTTTATTGCACTGAATAAAAATGATAAAAAATGGACCCAATGGAACATAGATCAATTAGCTAATTAAATAAAAGTTGAGTTTATTTTAGTTGATTATTATCTCACCAAGTGAGTGAGATAATAATCAACTTACAAAACACATCCATGGAATGCAAGTTAAAAAAATAAACCCATAAAATATGCAAAGCCAACAAGAAAAAAAACTAGGAGTAAATTCATTAATAACATAGAACTCACGTGCATAACTATCTCCCATGATTGAGAGAATTCTCAGGTAAATTCATGCTGGCTGGGGAATTCTGGGAGTTGAAGTCCAGACATCTTAAATTTTAGAAGGTTGACAAACAGTGGTATAGAGGAGTGTGCATGATTTGTGAGACAGATGGCTATGGAAACAGATGGTAACTCATATCTTGGATTTATCATGCATGAAACTGAACTTTGTCATGGAGACATAGATTCCCCTTTATATTTTCTTTAGTAAAAATGCTTTCTAATAATAAATATTACTGCCAGTTGCTGCACTGTCATGAAACATGAGTGCTTCAGATCAAGAAGCATGTTTCCCCTCTTGTCAAGATTCTTTTCCATCACTGTGTGGGTTATTGCACTAGTACAATAATACACAGCTGTATCTTCCATTTTCAAATCATTCATTTGAAGGTAGAAGTTGGAACTGTCTTTGGAGGCTGTAAATCTTCCTTGTATTGTGGGGGAATAAGCACTGTACTTTGGGATACGATAGTGTACTAGCCACTTCAGTGGGTTCCCGGGCTTCTTCATCAACCAATCCATATAATGATTGTAAATATCAAACCCAGTTATGGAACATTTGAGTTGGAGTGATTCTCCTTGATTCTTGATTACTGGACTTGACTGGGTGAGAGTAATCTGACAAAGGGCACCTGGAGGAAGGAGAGTGTCATCAAGTGATGGAAATGAATTACTCTATAAGAAAAAAAACTATTATAATTAAAAACCAAGAGTATTTTTTCTGATCTCTGCAGATAATCTGTGAGAATGAGCTATGCTGTAAAACCAAAAGAAAACACCAGCAATAGCATACCTTTCAAAACTGTGAGAATGAAAATTAGAGGCAGCCAGTTCATGATCCTGTTTCTTCTCTGTTATTATCCCTTTGAAGACTGTTTTTTTAGAAGAGACAGGAGGTCAAGTATGAATGAAGCTTTAGCAGAGGGTGAAATTAATTTATGATGAAGTGGTTTGCATAAGTTTTCCCTTTTAAGAGGTTTAAGTTCTTACTGCCTCACAATATAAGAAGATGGAACATTTCTTTGTTCAATGTTCAGATCTGAAAAGTACATAGCTGTACCATTGATGGATGACTGGCTTATCACCTTCTGGTGTGACTGTGTGAATAAAACCATGTTAGTCTAGAACAGGGGCCTTCAAACGTGTACCTTTTAGGACTTGTAGACTTCAAGTTCCAGAATTGCTCAGCCAGAGTGCCTGGCTGACGAATTCTGGGAATTGAAGTCCACAAGTCATAAAAGGGCCAAGTTTGAAGACCTCTGGTCTAGAAGAAAAATCCCCATGATTAAGAGAAAGGCCAGGTCTCATGAGCTGTATGAATGGTCAGCAAAATTGGATCTAATTTACCCTCAGATGGAATTATCTTCCAAAGAGAATGTCTTGAGAAGACATGATTCCTGTGTCCCACCAGATGATATTATTTGACAGGACTCAAAACATACCCTTCCTACAAGAACTGATGAGACAAGACAAAACATATTTTGGAGCTCTTCATAATTCTGAAGAATCCACCATGAAGTGTTGCAAACTGACCGGCTCAAGCATTTTGTAAACATTTCGATCATAGTAATTTTCCAAATTCTTTGATTTATTTTACATAGATTTACAATTAAGCAAAGAGTTATGACAATGCATTGTTTCATTTCACTTCATTTGTTATGTTCTAATTTCTGAAATCTAACTACAAGCAGTCAGAAGTGAACATCAATGTGCATTCTCCAACATCTGTTTGGGGTTGGTGTTTAGTCAACATTGTCACTTTTAAGATGCCTGGACTTCAACTCCCAGAATTCATGCTGACTAGAAACACTGGGAATTGAAGTCCAGAAAACCTGAAGTTGACAAGATTGACAAATACTGATGTGGAGGACTGTTTATGATGTGTGAGATAGACAAATGGCCATGGAAACAGATGGTAACTCACTTTTTGGATTTTTCATGAAAGAGTTTTTTGCCATGGAGAGGGAGATTCCCCCTTCTATTTTCTTTAGAAACAGTTGTTATCTCATAATAAATAATTCTGCCAGCAGTTCATGTCATGAAACATGACTGTTCCAGAAAAATAAGGATTGTTTTTTCCTTTGTCATGATTCTTTTCCATCATTGTGCAGGGTCTATATGAGTAGTACAATAATATACAGCAGTGTCCTCCACTTTCAAGTCATTCATTTGGAGTTAGAAGTTGGAACTGTCTTTGGAGGCTGTAAATCTTCCTTGTATTCTTGGAGAATAACCACTGTACTTCAGGATACGATAATACACCAGCCATTCCAATGGCTTCCCAGGCCTCTGCATCACCCAATTCATATAATGGTGATTGATATCAAATCCAGTTATGGAACATTTGAGTTGGATGGATTCTCCTTGATTCTTGATTATTAGACTTGACTGGGTAAGAGTAATTTGAGAAAGGGTACCTGGAGGAAGAAGAAAAGGTCACCAGATGATAGCAATGAATTACTCTATAAGAAAAAAAGCTACCATAATTAAAGATTGATTATTTTTCTGATCTGCACAGATCCTCTTTGAGATTGAGCTGTGCTTTAAAACCAAAAGAGGACATCAGCAGTAGCATACTTTTTAAAATTGTTTGAATGAAAATTAGGCGCAGCAAATTCATGATCCTGTTTCTTCTCTGTTATTATCCCTTTGAAGACTTTTCTCTAGAAGAGACAGGAGATCAGCAGAGGAGGAAAATAATATATGATGAAGTAATTTGCATATGTTTTCCCTTTTAAGAGGTTTAAGTTCTTACTGCCTCATCACATAAGGAGAAGGAAACTTCCATTAGAACAACACTGGAGAGGAGAGGAGAGGAGAGGATCACAGACTATTTAGAATAACTAATGGAAAAAAAAAACAGTCTTGACAGTTAACAAAGTTATTGTATGGCTGTGCCATCATTGGTTGATGAGCTTCTAGTGTCATTGTAGCAATAGAACCACATTAGTCTACAGTGAAAGAAAATGATAAAGGGTCTGGTAGCACATTTTCCAAGTTCAAATGTTTTTATTTAGCCCTTATCAGCTTAGTCACTATGTGACTGTTAAAGTACCTTACAAAACTTTAAGCCAGACACGTCAAATTTGTGATGTCACATGACATCGTGCAACGTATCAGAATTTTTCCCCACTGCAGCAATGGGGTGGTGTGATTTCCTGGTGATGCGCCTGGCCTGCGGGCCAGCATTTTGGCATGCCTGCTTTAAGCCTTTCTACAAAATCTTTGAAAAACAAAAAATCTAGATTCCTTTGAATTCATTGGTGAATGGTTCAAGAAATCATGCTTAGGACAATCAATGCTTAATGTGATATGTGAGAGCTGTCCATGTCTTCCTGTATGAAAAGGTGTAAATCACAGATCAACATTGAGAAGAGACAAAGATTTATCCTGATAAGCTGCAATTAAATGCAATGTTTTGAAGTGGCTTTGCTGAGCAAGCCCTGTTTGAAGACTATTTTTCCATGCAAAAACCATTTCATATGTTTAAATTATATCTCAAAGGCCTTCCAACTTGACATTCACAATATGCATTCTCAATGCATATTTAAATTTTATAAATAAATAAATATTTAAACCATTTTCCTGCAGCATAAACTGTTGTAATCCCTTTTAGGAGTCAATCAATCAATCATTCAATCAATCAGATTAGAGCTGGAAGGGACCTTCTCAATCAATCAATCATTCAGTCAATCAGATTAGAGCTGGAAGGGACCTTCTCAATCAATCAATCATTCAATCAATCAGATTAGAGCTGGAAGGGACCTTCTCAATCAATCAATCATTCAATCAATCAGATTAGAGCTGGAAGGGACCTTGTCAATCATCAATCATTCAATCAATCAGATTAGAGCTGGAAGGGACCTTGTCAATCAATCAATCATTCAATCAATCAGATTAGAGCTGGAAGGGACCTTGTCAATCAATCAATCATTCAATCAATCAGATTAGAGCTGGAAGGGACCTTGTCAATCATCAATCATTCAATCAATCAGATTAGAGCTGGAAGGGACCTTGTCAATCAATCAATCATTCAATCACTCAGATTAGAGCTGGAAGGGACCTTGTCAATCAATCAATCATTCAATCAATCAGATTACAGCTGGAAGGGACCTTGTAGATCTTCTAGTTCAATCTGCTTGAGCAGAGATTTGTACTAGAAGAACTCCACGGTCCCTCCCAACTTTGTTATACTGTTATAACTGCACTTCATGTATCCATACCACCAATGATTGTTGCAGTATGAAAAAAGAATGATGTTACAAAGCAGTAATTGGGAAACCCAAATGACTGAAAAAAGGATTTGTTTAACATGCAAAATTGTATTTCAGGGAGGATATTTTTAGAAGGACTCATTCACTGTGTGTCTTCTGTGCAGAAATACAAGGCAGTGTCTTCTGGTTTTAGACCATTGAGTTGCAGTAAAAATTGGTTTTTGGAGGTATCTCTTGTGAGGGTTAACCGATTTTGTAAAATACTATTATAATATACAGTCCCACTCTTTGCAATACGTCCAACCCATTCCAGTCCCTCTCCTGGACGTTGATGGATCCAGTCCATGTACGCCTCTGCTACAGAAAATCCAGACACTGTACAAGTCAGTTTTATGGACTCCCCAGGCCTCTTAACATCACCTCCTGATTCAATAATGGTACGACTGGATAAACTGCCTGTGGCATAAGGTAACAGAAAGAATTGTTGGAATATTACATGAAGATAGAAGAGATCAGTATATATATATATATATATATATATATATATATATATATATATATATATATATATATATATATATATATATATATAGTTCCTTACATTCAGAGAATGACAATATGAAACATGCCAAGATAGTCCATTCCATAATGTTAATATTGAGTAAGAGAGATGAGCAGAAATTCTGATCTCCAGCTAAAAGGAACCTAATGGTCAGTTTAATCCTTCCCCTTTAAAGCAGCAGTAACATAAAATAATTTGCATAGTACTCAAAATGCCCATTATTTAAGTAGATAATATTTTAAGTGCTCCGTACTTCAATTGTCCACTGAAACCCAAAAACATCAAGAACAGGTGCCTGTTGCTGAGGACCAAGATTGCATATCTCATCTCTGAATTGCATTGGTGACATCTAAAATTAGTGGAGGTTTAATATGTACCCTCTCTCTTAGAGATTCTTTACAGCCACAAGAATATCCAGTGAAAAATGGTATTTGCTAGATAAGAATCTTGATTAAGAGCCGTGGTGGCACACTGGTTAGAATGCAGTACTGCAGGCTAATTCTGCCAACTGCCAGCAGTTTGATTCTCACTGGCTCAAGGTTGACTCAGCTTTCTATCCTCACAAGGTCAGTAAAATGAAGACCCAAGTCATCAGAGGCCATATGCTGACTCTGTAAAAACTGCTTAGAGAGGGCTGTAAAGTACTGTGAAGTGGTATATAAGTCCAAGGACTTGCTATTGCCATTACAGACCTGAAGAAAGTCAAATGAAACAGCTAATTATCTACTATCAATATGAACTGCAAATTTACACCTATGGAATTTAAATGTATCATGTTTTTGTTTCAACATTTGCAAAGCATTTGATGGCCCTATTTTATTTTTGCATTACTTGCTCTTAGCTATTTTACCCTACATAATGATATCAGACTTACAGTTACACAAAAGTAAATACCTATTGTCCAATGTAAAATATGGACAACCTTATCTGCTCTTATGAACAAAGCAGAGTAATGAGTCTTTAGCACTGTACATATCCATGGATAAGCCAAATTATGTGTAAGACCAAACTTCGTGAGATTTTAAACCAAAATACTACCGGTATGAAAAAATGTGTCAGCTATGTATAAAAAAAACCCTCTAATTTTTTGTATGTTTCAATATTCACAATGAG